AAGTAATTGTTATTGGTATTGTTAACAATATTCTAAAAGCTATACATGCATTTAAAAAAGAATCTAATCGTTTTATACAAGTTAGGGTTTTAGCTGGAGTGTTAATTTGAGATTGTATGACTCTTCTTAATACAGTCAATTCTTGAAATAAATCTAAATCATCAATATTAGAAAATCAATTATGGTTCAAAAAAATTTCAAGTTTAAGACAAACCAGTTTATTATAGTAGATTAAGCCAAAAAAATTCTGACCCTTAAATCTTGATACTATCAATTAATTGATGGTTTGTTGAACTATAAGAGATTACATAATAGAGAGCTTTAGTGTTCTTTCTTTGATGAGATTAAAATTTCACAAAGAAAGAAAGGCAAGAGAGAGTGCCTTTAAACAGAACTGTGGCCTATGAGTGAGTGAATCTTGTAATTTGTGCAAGAGAGTCAGAGTGATGTAAAGAGATTTGCTTATTTCCTTCGTAGAGATAGAGATTATTCTTTTTTATTGTAGAAGTTTAACTGTCTGCTACAGCTAGCAAGTGGAGAAATTTTCTAAGTTGTTGAAGTGTTAACAAACTTATCAATAAAATTTGGATCCTCTCAAACCAGTCTATCTAAAATATATATACTTATAACTAAAACTCTTAACAGGGACCCCAAAATTTTACAAAAATTAGAGGCCCTAGGCGACTAACTAAGTAGCCTAGGCCTAGGGCCTAGGGCCAGCCCTGTCTGGCAATGGCGGAGGGAGGAGGGGCCTGGTGCCACACTGAAAAAAAATATTTTTTTTAATTAAATATGTTTTATATATTTTTTTTAGATTAGTTGAGCCCATTGTAATGATTTGTGAAAAACAAAATTAATTGGATCAAATAAGTTGGGTAGTAGAACAAAAAAACAAAAACAAAAAGTCCATACCAAATTTATTAAAATTAGCAAACTAAAATTGATTTCTTAAAATATTGATATGATTTATTGAAGTCTCATTTGATTCAAAAATTATAGAATATATAGCAAAAAATGAGTAAAATATAAAATTTATAAAAATATTGAAAGTTATAGAATATTGCTTTTATTTGTATCAAATAAATTATATTATTGATCCTTAATGTATAGATGTTATCTTATTAATTTTTTTCAAATAGACATTTTTTATGTTTAATGAATTTTTAAGTATCAAATTTAATATAAAAAAATATAAATATACCGTGCCTTTAGGCACATATTAGCAAACTAAATATTTTCAAATTAATTAGTTGATTTATGCTGTACCGTGCCTTTAGGCACATATTACCCCCAGTAAAAACCAAGTATGGCAAGGATACATCATAATATCAATTTATAACCATCAATTTAAAGCCAAAAAGAAGGGATCACTTTGACAGCTCACCATATAAATCACACTATAATCCATGGTTTTAAATTGATGTCGGCAAATTGGGCCCAACTTGTATCTTGTCCAGGATATGATGAATTTAAGGGCCATATTATATTCCTTTAAAATCTTAGAAATTTTAAACAAACTATTTTATATTTTATTTCAACTAATAATTTGCTTAGTGTTTATATTAGAATTATTAATAAGCCCTAACGATTTTGCCTCAATCATGATGGTTAGTTAGAATTGATAATCGAATTGAGTTTTACGAGCTCAAGTCAAACCGAGTTTATTTTTTTAAACGAGTCTAAAAAATTATTTAAGCCGAATCTAAAATGATTTTGCCTCAATCATCATGGTTAGTTATTGAAGGAAGGGTAGGTTTGGTCATGTGATGTGGGCCGTGAACCGGGTCATTTTGTGTTGGAATTTTGGGTCCATGAGTTAGGCGAATTCCTTCAGTTTCTTGTCCTTTGGTGGCCAATGTTTGAGGTATTATTGGGGGTCGTTGCGATTCTAATTTTTATTTGAAACGATGGCTTCTTTTAATTTTTTAAAAGGGTTCAAAAGGGGAAGGAAAAGATGAAGGAAGGACCCATCTGATCTGACATTTTAATTTCAGGCTTGAGTTTAAAAGCCATTATATTTTATGTACCATCATTGCTTCTTATGGTGGTTGTACTTGTACTTGAATGACTATACCCACATCCATATAATAATAATAACAATAATAAAAAATAAAAAAAAAATAAAAAAACCAATAGTGCAGGACAGAGGGACAATGTCCTTTGCTAGTTTCAGCTGTTGACGGAGATGTGTGAAAAATAAGCAAATCAACCCTTAAAGAATAGTTAAACAAGTTAGGGGATGTATGAGTTGTAACCTTTCATTTCCCGGGGTTCGAATTTTGAAATTTTTTTTTGGATTAAGTTAGGTCATAAACGATTTATTTTTTATGAATATCTTAATTTTAGTGTAAATAATTTACCTTTTAATTTCATCTAACGGTCAATAAATTGACATTTGTTTTCCTTAATATTTTTCCTCCCAACCAATCAACGATTACGACTGATTTTGGAACACATGATTTTCTCTGACAAAATAATTAAATTGGTCAAATTTACCATTAATATCATCTGTGTAGTGTAACATTTTGAATTTGTATAAGATACAATGATAATTTTAATTTTAATTAAAAAAACTCATAATTAATTTTAATTTTATTTATTTAATTAATTATCTCAAATTAACATGTCTTAAATCAAAAATTCAAGACTATTTTTTTTATCTCCTAAGAAAATTCAACGCTAATATATTCTTATAAATTAATAATTTTGTTATAACTTGTATTAATTAAAAAAATAATATTTTAGAAATAATATTTTTAGAAATTTTTTTGATAGAACATATTTGGCGATATGCTTTTTAATAAATTAGATTTTTAATTTATATTACATTTGACTCGATTTTGATTATATGTATATAAATTAATGTTTGATTTTGATTATATGTATATAAATTAATGTTTTTTATGTCAATTTTATCATATTTCGTAGATTTATATATAATATAAAATAGGGCGGCTTCAACAAGCTCTTCCTACGGTCTCAAATTCATTCATCAAACGGCCAACAAATTGTTTTCTTAATATTCCCTCCCCCCCTCAACTGGTCAACAATTACGGTTGATCTTAGAACATATTCTACAGTCTTAAATTTATTCATCCAACGGTCAAGAAATTACAATTTTTTCCTTAATATTTTATCCCCCAACCGGTCAACGATTACGACTAATCTTGGCACACAGTATTTTCTCTGATATAATAATTAAATAGGTAAAATTTGTCATTAATATCATATGTATATTGTAGCATTTTGAATTTTTATTAGACACAATGATAACATTTTGATTAAAAAAAACTCATCAATTTAACAAATAAAAAAACAAGGGCGATGTTTAACACATTTATATTAAATATAATTAATTTTAATTTTATTTAATTAATTAATTATCTCAAACTAACATGTCTTACCCATATCTTGAATCAAATGTTTAAGACTAATTTATTTTAATCTTTTAAAAAAATCTAACACTAATATATTCTTATAAATTAATAATTTTTGTAATAATTTGTACTAATTAAAAAATGATATTTTATAAATGATATTTGTAGATCTTTTTTTTGATAAAAAATATTTTAGAGATGTGCTTTTTGATAAATTTAATTTTTAGTTTGTATTATATTTGACTCGATTTTGATTATATGTATATAAATTAATATTTTTTTAAGTCAATTCTATCATATTTCACATATTTATCTATAATATAAAATATGATAGACTTCAATAAGTTCATCTGATGGTCTGAAATAAACTCATTAAATAGTTATCAACATCTCTCTCAAAATCATTCAAATTGAATTTTACCTTCTTTTTCTCATTCTTCACTCTTTCTCTCTGGTAATGGTGGAGGGAGGAGGGGTAAGAAGGGTCTGGGGCTACCTTGGAAAATATATACATATTTTTTATTTATATATGTTTTATATATTTTTTCGGATATTTTTAATTGGGCCTACTGTAATGATTTATGACAAACAAAATTAATTAGGTCATACAAGTTGGGCACTAGAACAAAAAAATAAAAACAAAAAATTGATATTAAATCTCTTAAAATTAGTAAACTAAAATTGATTATTTAGATCATTGGGATGATTTATTGCAACCTCCTTTGATTCAAAAATTATGGAATATATAGTCAAAACTTATTAAAATATGAAATTTGTAAGAAGATTAAAAATTATATAATATTGTTTTTATTTGTGTGAAATAAATTAAATTACAAATTATAATATAAATTATATATATATAACATTATTTTTATCTATTAATGACAGTAAAACTTGTACTTAAAGTGTATCCACCCTAGATCATATTTTTTGCTCCATCACTGTTCTTTGGGATTTTCATTCATCACTTCTTCAAATTAAACAATTGATTTATATTATTTCGTGCCTTCAAGCATGAGTTACCCTTAGTTACCTTATATATAGAAATGGGTTCATTTTATTTACTTGGTTATTTGTTATTAATTAGTGATATCATATGATAATGATAATGTAATATTATTGTTATATTGAATATTTACTAGGAGATATGAAGTAGATAAATAAGATAAAATGTTTAAGTTATGAAAATAACATTTTTGCATGCATATAAATCGAATCTCATCTAAATCTTATAATAATAATAATAATAATAAAATTATCGAATCCTATCTAAATCCTATAGTAATAAGAATCTCATACATTGGAGCGTTAAACAATTCCCTTAAGATTGTGGGTAAATGAATAACTTATACCATTACGGCATTAAGTATCACTTCCTCCCTCCAAAGTCCAAAGAAGTTGAATTGGATAGCACTGATTAGCATTTTAATTACTAGTTTTCTTTAGCACTTGGTGACAAAAGTAAAAATTAAACCACCACTAAATTATGATTATGATGATGATGATGATTAAGGGAGGTTGGTGCTACCTGGGCCTGGCTAAGGAATGCTTGCTTTGTCTTGTCGCCGCGTGTCTTAAAGTTGCCTTGGGCTCTGCCTTCATTAAAAGATAGAGCAAGCAGTTGCCTTTTCAACACTCGAACAAACAGAGTTGCTCCAGCTTGATTTCCATTCTATGTACACTTCTATCTCTTTCTACAAGTTAGTGTCAACACCAGATAAACGTAAATGGAGGACCACCATCCACCACCGAAACGAGTGGTGGTTTGCGGCGGCGGAGTCATCGGAGTCTGCACCGCCTACTTCCTATCCAAAAAAGGTGTCGCCGTAACCCTTGTCGAAAAATCATCCATTGCCTGCGCTGCCTCGGGCAAAGCCGCTGGATTCCTCGCCCTCGATTGGTGTGACGGTGGTCCACTCTCGAAACTCGCTCGTGCCAGCTTCAATCTCCATCGTTCGCTTTCCCAAGAACTCAACGGCCCACAATCATACGGCTACCGTCCCCTCACCACTCTCAGCCTCTCCATCACCGAGTCGTCTTCTTCATCATCCTCCCAAGAGCCCCACAAAAGCCCTAGCAGAAATCTTCCTTCGTGGGTTGACGGCCCAGCTAAAGGCCCAAGAACTATTGGGACAACAGAAACCACAGCCCAAGTTCATCCTCGACTGTTCACTAAAACACTATTGTCAAAGGCGGTTGAGGACCATGAGGTTGAGGTGGTGATTGGAAAAGTAGAGACGGTGGAAGTGGAGAGTGGAAAAGTTAGGGCGGTGGTATTGGAGGATGGGAGAGAGATTCAGGCCGAAGCAGTGGTGCTGGCTCTTGGGCCGTGGACAAGTAAATTGTCCCTTTTGGATTCGATTTTTAGGGTTTATGGGCTTAAGGCCCATAGTGTAGTGTTACAGCCCAAAGAGCCTGATGCTATTACACCTCATGCTCTTGTTTTGAGTTATTATTCAGCTCAGGGAGGCAAGCCCCTCAACCCTGAAGTGCATCCTCGTTCCACAGGTTTGTTAGCTTGGTTGTTTTGCTGTCAAATGCTAAATCACCCAAAAAAAATAATAAAAAAAATTATTAAATGATCTTATGATGATATAGTGGTCGACGGTTTTGATTCTAATTTTACTCATTTAAATTTTAGGCATTGCTGATCATTTTAGCGTTATATTATATGATCTACTAAGGGTAACCCATGCCTCAAGACATGGTGCAACATAAATCAACCAATTAATTTAGAAAAGTGAGAAGTAAAAAACCCTGAAAATAGTGGCAGAGCCAAATATATGANGGTTTTGATTCTAATTTTACTCATTTAAATTTTAGGCATTGCTGATCATTTTAGCGTTATATTATATGATCTACTAAGGGTAACCCGTGCCTCAAGACATGGTGCAACATAAATCAACCAATTAATTTAGAAAAATGAGAAGTAAAAAACCCTGAAAATAGTGGCAGAGCCAAATATATGATTTAAAGTTGACACACTTTAAGTATAATAGATAAAAATAATGTGATATATTTATATTTTTTTATATTAGATTTGATACTTAAAAATTGATTAAACATAAAAAAACGATNACACACTTTAAGTATAATAGATAAAAATAATGTGATATATTTATATTTTTTTATATCAGATTTGATACTTAAAAATTGATTAAACATAAAAAAACGGTCTATTTGAAAAAAATTAGTAAGATAACATCTATTTATTAAGGATCAATAATATAATTTATTTGATACAAATAAAAGTAATATTCTATAATTTTTAATCTTTTTATAAATTCTATATTTTACTCATTTTTAGTTATATATTTTATAATTTTTGAACTAAATGAGACTTCAACAAATCATACCAATATTCTAAGAAATCAATTTTAGTTTGTTAATTTTAAGAAATTTGGTATGGACTTTTTGCTGTTGTTTTTTTGTTCTAGTACTCAACTTGTTTGATTCNATATTCTATAATTTTTAATCTTTTTATAAATTCTATATTTTACTCATTTTTAGTTACATATTTTATAATTTTTGAATCAAATGAGACTTCGACAAATCATACCAATATTCTAAGAAATCAATTTTAGTTTGCTAATTTTAAGAAATTTGGTATGGACTTTTTGCTTTTGCTTTTTTGTTCTAGTACTCAACTTGTTTGATCCAATTAATTTTGTTTTTCATAAATCATTACAGTGGTCTCAACTAATCTAAAAAAATATATAAAACATATGTAATTGAAAAAAATATTTTTTTCAGTGTGGCCCCATGCCCCTCCTCCCTCCGCCACTGGCAGAGAAAGATAGTGAAGAGTGAAAAGATTAAGGTAAAATTTAATATAAATAGTTTGATATCGTCAGATTGGCTTGTTGAACCTACCCTGTTTTATATTATAAATTATAGAATTCACGAAATATAATATAATTGACTTAAAAAATCATTAATTTATATACATGTAATCAAAATCGATTATTAATTTATATACATATAATCAAAATCGAATCAAATTTAAAACAAATTAAAAATCTAATTTATTAAAAAACATATCGCCAAAATATTTTCTATCAAAAAAAGATGTACAAATACTATTTTTTAATTAGTACAAGTTATTACAAAATTATTAATTTATAAGAATATATTAGCGTTGAGTTTTCTTAAGAGATAAAAAAAAATAGTCTTGAACTTTTGATTCAAGGCATGTGTAAGGCATGTTAGTTTGAGATAGTTAATTAAATAAATAAAATTAAAATTAATTATATTCAATATAAATGTGTTAAATAGTGCCCTTGTTTTTTTTTAATCTATTAAATTGATGAGTTTTTTTTTTAATAAAAATATTATCATTGTCTGTTATATAAATTCAAAATGTTGCNGGCATGTTAGTTTGAGATAGTTAATTAAATAAATAAAATTAAAATTAATTATATTCAATATAAATGTGTTAAATAGTGCCCTTGTTTTTTTTTAATCTATTAAATTGATGAGTTTTTTTTTTAATCAAAATATTATCATTGTTTGTTATATAAATTCAAAATGTTACACTATACAGTTGATATTAATGGCAAATTTAAACCATTTAATTATTATGTTAGAGAAAATTTTGTGATTCAAGTCACTCGTAATCTTTGACTGGCTGTGAGAAAAAATATTAAAGAAAAAAATGTTAATTTTTTGACCGTTGGATAAATAAATTTGTAACCGTAAGATATGTTCCAAAATTAGTCGTAATCGTTGACTTTTTTTTGGTTGGGGGGGGGGAAATATTAAGGAAAATAATTGTAATTTCTTGATCGTTGGATAAATGAATTTGAGATCGTAGGATCGGCTTGTTGAAGCCGCTCTGTTTTATATTATAGATTTTATGTCTTATTTTTTCATTAATTTAGCCTTCTCTCTAGTGATATTTCATCCATCATCATGTGTATTACTTTGCGGTTATAAATAAATCATCATGCGTATTACTTAGCAGTTATAAATAAATAACTAGGACTAGTGAACTTCACTTATGAGGAAGTTACTAATGGATGGCTATGAAATTTGGTGGAATTCACTAGTTTTACGTGTTTTTGTTTGCAATTAGTTAATAATATCACGTGTTAATAATTATATGATATTACTTTTATATTCAAAGCTTGATCTTCAAACTTTTTTCATATATATATATATATATTTTGTAACCAAAATTTTAGCACACAGAAATGTATCGATTTAAACTACACTATTTGTCTAAAATGTGTGTTTTTAATAAGTTAAAAATCACAAAATTGATGTAATAAAATTCAAAAATGATTGAAAATATGGCAACATATTAATATAAAATTCATGTTGTTGTGTGTTTGGGTGAGAATCAGAAAACAAAAGAAAGATTCAAGTATTGCATGATGCATTTATTTACTGAAAAATATTGCAACCATTCTGATCATCCATTCTTCCAACTGAATTTTCAAGTTAAAGCTTAAAAAAGTTTTTGTTTTGATCTTTTTTCCTTACAGGGGAAGTGTACTTATGCGGAATGTTAACTGAAGCCGATGTCCCAGACGATCCAGAACAGGTGGCCCCTAACCCAGAATCGATACGGGTGCTTAAGAGAGTGGCTAAGAACGTATCAAGCCATTTGGAAGAAGGGGAAGCAACATTGAAGGCCGAGCAAGCTTGCTTTTTGCCGTGTACCGACGATAGTGTACCGGTTATCGGTCAAGTACCGGGAGTGAAAGGGTGTTTTGTGGCAACTGGGCATAACGCTTGGGGGATTCTAAATGGTCCGGCAACCGGAGTTGCTGTGGCTGAGCTTGTGGTGGATGGTCGTGCTAGTATTGTTGATCTTACTCCTTTTAATCCAGTCAGATTTGTTGGTGGGAAGAGGTAGATTAGTATGGTATAGACTACTCCCCCGTCATAGTTGATTAAATAGATTTACAATTTCACGTTGCTTATATAAGGATTACACTTTTTCCACTATAGAGTGGTTGATTTTGTTAAAATTTGCAGAGAATGCAGCTAGTTCAACTGTATCTCCCAGCTCATCAGATGATTCCACTGATCACCATCTAGCTCAGCCTCTTCTCCAGCTCAGCATGATCACGTAGAACACACTAGAAGGATCTAGCAGAGCTCACTAGAAGAATCCTGAGGCATATGGAAGTTGGTAGTTAGTTAGGAAAATTTCTCTTATGTGTAAAGCATTTAGATGAATAAGTTTGGTGTGCACTTGTAGCTAGTATAAATACAGATATATGTACAGCAATGAGAATAATTCTCTTCTTCATTTTTTCTCTCCTTAACCTTCTGCACCTTGTTCTTAAGATTTTCAATATGGTATCAGAGCAGTAATGGCTAACACACCACCTCCAAATCCCAACGATTCCTCTTACAACAGTGATAATGTTGCAACCAATCTCAATCCAAAAGACCCCGTTAACTCATACGCCCTCAATCCAAAAAATGGACCAGGTACCTTCCTTACCAATCACCTTCTCACAGCAGAGAATTATCACTCTTGGGCCCAAACTGTTCGAAGAGCACTTCGAATCAAAAGAAAAATGGGTTTCATCGATGGCACCCTCTGCAAACCAACAGGCCCCAATGACCCTTTGATAGATCCTTGGCTTGAATGTAATGACATGGTTGTTACTTGGCTTCAAAATGCAATGTCCTTGGAAATCAAAAACATTGTAGTATATGTTGTGTGACACCCTAAAAATCGAGGGTCCTTAATTTAACAAAATTTGGGCAGAGTCTCCTTTGTACGGGAAACTCTACCCAAAATTCAATATGTACAATATACATTAACACGATCTATCCAATGCCCGATATAACACAATGATCGTAACGGGTCCATTCATGAGTAAAAATTGACCACACCGGGTCCATTCATTCATACTCATATACAAACATGCAAGGTTATATTAAAAACAGTCCATATAAGTTCAATTACAACTCTCTTACATAAAATTACATGTCAAAACTAGTTTGCTCCAAAAGTTTTACAAAAGGAGTTTTAAAAGCCACAAGTTGGCTTTCTTCACCCTTGCGGCCCCGAATGAGAGTCGTCCACCGGTGTATATCTCACATCTGAAATATTTTTCCATCTAGGGTGAGCCACACCTAGTAGAGTAATTCCTACAGAGGCTACTTCCCACCTAAGTGTATATGAAATGTGCACATGCAACAATCAACAATCAACAATCAATATCTATTCCAACAAGAACATGTAGTTCAATGTGAAAATTCTACCATATCATATCATGATTTGAGATGATACTCATTCATGCACTTTAACCCGAGTCCTCATCGATTCCCACAACACAATGCAATGCAAATGTATAAAATATTTGTCATTGATGAAATACATCCAATGATCGTTTTTGAAATACAAGTCATTGTGTTTATAAAACCAATTCATTGTTGGATGTTTCCTATCGAATGAATACTTTATAAAACAAGTACACTCTTTTGGAATTTCACCTCAGGGGAGTGTATGAATCAGGTATTTTTATAAACAAAATCACGTGTCTTTATTGGGTAGCAAAGTTTTGAAATCGCACTGCAGGTTCTGCAAATCAATACACTTTTTTAGAATTTCACCTCAGGGGAGTGTATGAACCAAGTAGTCGGGTCTTGCACCCGAGGGAGAGTCTAGCCCTTCTTGCTATACCCGACACAAGTTTTTCATGTATGCAACCATGTGACTTAGTAAAATATTCAACCCCACTTTCCCGAGCCCACCCATCAAACACCAATTATGGTGATTGATCCAACCATGCACTCACACACCCATACTCATGGTCATGAATGCATTTTTCCCGTGTAAAATGCAATATGATGCATCATTGCTCAATTAATGTCATGCTCAATGTAATGGATATCAATGAGCCAAATTTAAATCACACATTTCATCATGTATCATGGACAATTATATCATACGTATATAACTTCCAAAAACTCATCACAATGTCAATATATTAATACACATATATCAACATTTTATGTAATAACAACAACCAAGCATGTCATTACATAATCAAGCAATAACACCCTTAATCATCATGGCATAATGTAAACATGTAATATGCCCACATAACAGTCCCTAAACAAGCCACATAAAGAACCCGAAACAAGTCACAAAACAGTTTCTAAACAAGCCATAAAATAGTCCATAAACAAGTCATAAAACAACTCCTAGACAAGCCATAAAATAGTCCATAATTTCAACCCAAAACAGTCACAATTTTAGCCCCTAAACAACCACAATTTCAGTCGCTAAATAGCCACATAACAGCCTCTTAAATCAGCCCAAAAGGTAGGAATAAAATCAAAGTAGGAAGAACCCTACCTTTTATGGCATGTAGGAAGTAGTAGAACTTCCAAGAACTTAATCTCAAGCTCAAACCCAAGCTTCTCCCAAAATCTTGTTTTTGATTCTTCGGTGAAATTCTTCATTTTTGGTATAGTCGCGTAGTCCTCATTGAGGAGATCAACTTTAATACTTGGCTCAAAGAATTTCGACCGGCAGAACTCCGTATATCGTAAAAAGAAGGTAAAAATTTTCTCTTTTTTTTTTCCTATCTTCAACTCCAACGTGAGAAACCAGCAGACCCAGCAAAGTGTTCTATCCAAAATAAGATATTTAGTCCATATTTATATATTTTAACGCTTGGTCCATGTCGCGCCACACTCCTCCTTTTTTCCCGGGTTCGTTTTCTTCCCGAAACGATTAAATTTCGCTCTGGTTCAAGCTCAAAATATTTTATATGAAATTTATTTAAATTATAATAAAATTTTAAAATTTTTTATTTTTTGAGCACTTTTGAGATCACCTGACACCTTGACACCTGTCGCTTCGAAAAACATGAAAAAAATCGACTATTTCAAAATTCGATGAAAATTATCTGGGTAACTAGATTTCGCGAGATGAATCCAACGGTGAGGTCCGTTTCATCTTCTGAGCTCTAAAAAAATATGAATTTTAAACCCGCATTATAGTGATAAATTACCATTTTGTCATTTTTTTCGAAAAATTTTAAATTTATCCGGGTTTTATATGTTGAGACTGCACGAGTTATGGGTGGAATTGGAACAAAGATTTGCTCAAAACAATGGACCAAGGATTTATGAGCTAAAGCAAACAATCCATTCTCTCACCCAAGGAGAAGATTTTGTGAGTTTATACTTCTCAAAACTCAAAGGATTACTGGATGAACTCTTGAATTTTGGGTCTCTGCCACATTGCACATGTGGAGCAATGAAAACTGTTTTTGAAACCAACAAGGGATTGGATTATGAAATTTCTCATGGGCCTTAGCGACTTTTTTACTAACATTAAAGCACAGATTATTTTAATCAAACCATTCCCTGCATTGAGTGAAGTTTACGCTCTAGTCCAACACAAGGAAAAACGAAAACAACTCACTTCTGGAATCAATGTGACTGACTCTCGTGCATTAGCAGTAAGGACTAATTTCATCACCAAGGAAAACAACAGGTATTCTGCTCCTCAAAAGAAAGAAAGACCTTATTGCCCTCACTACAAGATTCCTGGTCATTCAATAGAGAAATGTTTTAAAGCAAATTCAGAGTTAGAAAGGCCATTCTACACCCACTGCGATGTCACTAGGCATTCTGTTGAGAAATGCTTCAAGCTTCATGGATATCCACCAGGCCACAAGATGCACAACAAGAACAAGGGTTTTACTCCATCAGCTAATCAAACCAATACAGTAAAACAAGAGCATCAGACAAAAAGATCACAATCAGCAATCATTCAAGAACAATATCAACATCACATGGCCTAGCTTCAAATCAAAGTTGTGCATCCTTCTGTTAATCAAGTTCAAAGTTATCAAATTGATACTCAATCCTTTGCTATGACTAGTATTATTTCCTATTTTTCAAATTTTGAAACCATCCAAATTCCTTAGGTAATAGATACTGGTGCAACAGATCATATGATATGCAGCCCTTCCATTTATTCTTCTGCACCTATCAAACTTTCTTGCAAAGTTAAATTTCCTAATGGTGATTTATCAAAAGTAACACACACAGGGACTGTCAAAATCAATGATGTCATCACCCTAAAAAATGTGTTGTGCATCCCATCTTTTAAGTTCAATATTCTGTCAACTAGAAAGTTATCACAGGACCTCAATTGTTGCTTCCTATTTTTTGCTAATTAGTGTCTTATACAAGACCTTTCCATCTGGAGCACGATTAGGAAGGGAGAGGTTCATGATGGCTTGTACCAGCTTAAGATGACACCAATCTCCTCTACAATTTTTAATACAGCTTTATCTAGTCTTTCTTGTAAACAGTCTCCTACTTCAACTTCAGTTTGCTCCCAGTCTGAGTATGATTTGTGGCATTGTAGACTAGGTCATCCCTCAGATTCAAGACTTGCTTTGTTGAAAAATGATTTGTCAAATGTTCAATTCATCAATGATATAATTCTTTGTTCAATTTGTCCATTGGCCAAAATTCATAGATTTCAATTTTCTAATAGAGAACATAAGTCACATAATCCTTTTGACTTGATTCATTGTGATATATGGGGGCTTAGCACACATATAGCCTATAATGATTCAAGATATTTCCTCACCATTGTTGATGATTTTACAAGGTGCACATGGCTCTACTTAATGAAGGCAAAATCCCAAGCTAGACCACTTCTACAATCTTTTTGTTCCCTTATTGAGACTCAATTTCAATCCAAAGTCAAGATAATCAGGACTGATAAAGGAAATGAGTTTAGCATGGGAGAATTCTTTATGAAAAAGGGAATTATTCATCAACACAAGTTGTGTAGAAACTCCTCAACAGAATGGTGTTGTTGAGAGGAAGCACCAACATATTCTCAATGTAGCCAGATCCCTCATGTTTCATTCAACAATTCGTGTTGATTTTGGAATGATTGTGTCTTGACTGCAGTCTATTTGATAAATAGAATTCCTTCACCCAACCTACAGAACCAATCTCCATATCAGCTCCTCTTCAAAACCAAACCAACATATAGACATCTAAGGGTATTTGGTTCCTTATGCTATGCTTCTACACTGAGATAGAGTAGACATAAACTTGATCCTAGAGCCAGAAAATGTGTATTTCTAGGCTATCCTTTTGGAGTTAAAGGATACAAGCTGATGGATCTAGAAACTTATTCAATTTTTCATTCAAGGGATGTTGTATTCCATGAAAATATTTTTCCCTATAAGACAGATTAGTCATCTTCACAAAGTTACTCTTCACTATCTCACTTCTTTGATCTTTCTTCATCACCTTCATCTGATCAAACTTTCTCAACAGAGGTTGTATCTAT